TGGCAAGGAACCAATCAGAAGTTAGCTGGAGGTGCTATGCTTTACAGAACTGGGTGTGCTTTACAGACAAGTGCACAGCAATGACGCGCAGTGCATAGCAACCACCCTGGGAGGGCCTATGGGCCATAACAACCAGTTGACCAATCAACACAGGGCAAACCCTCCAAGCCTGAAGGCACACCAATCTTGAGCCTGTGCGTACCACTAGACACTCCCCTTACGCTGCCCTACAAGATCGCTCGGCAGCCAGTTCGAGCTGTCTTTTGCTAGCCATCCGCCATGGCGGGTGGGTGAAAGACCCGAGCTAACATGGGGTTAGCTCGTTAAAAAACAATAAAGCCTCATGCAGTTTGCATCAAGCTCTCGAATCTGCCTGGTGATTGGGGTGACCGCCGTCATGGCCAGGGACCCCGGATACCTGAGTTTTTCCAGGGGTCTAACAGAAGGACCCAGTTTCTAAGGCAGATTTCATAGGACACATGGGATGGAGAAAAGTGGGGGCTGTCCAAGGAGGCTCTAAATTTACTGGTATCTTAAAATTCTACCCAAACTTTGCATACACATGCATTTTTCTGAGGAGAGAAATCCAAAAAGAAAAAGGTCACACTTGTCACTGGAGCCTCCAAAGTTGAGGTACTACTGCAGGAGCCGGCCAGCACAGAAGAGCTGCTGTCTCCTGGGGGAGGGAAAGAAGAAAGATACACAGCCCAGGGCACACCTATGTCAGCCCCCAGGAGGGAACACAACCGAATCCCTCACTGAGGGGGCTGAGGCTCGGGAACCACCCCTCACCACCCACCCAGCCAAGCAGCTGGGATGGTGTGTTCCTGAGAACCGCTCACAGCTCACAGTTCCCTCCCAACAATCAAGTGACATTTGCAAAGCTCATCAGCTCAGCAGGTGTTCAGATGTGCAAGCAATAGAAAAACAGTTCCGGGCCTGGGGAAAAAAAAGAATATCCTGCTCTGAAAACGCCCCAGGCTGCTGGGAGAGTGTGGGACAGAAAACCAGGAGAGGAGAAATACGATGGAGACAGCCAGGCAGCACACACAGACGAGAGTTCCAGAAATGTCTAGGTGGGAATGGGAAACGGCGTGTGCGTGTGTGTGAGACAGAGAGAGACAGAGAGAGACAGAGAGACAGAGACAGAGGGGGGGAAGGAGGGAGGGAGGGAGAGAGACAGAGTGACAGAGAGAGAGACTTGTATACCCTAGGCAGCAACCAGCCCTTACAAACATGTGCTCCCAACCCCCTGCCTGCCTGCCCTGTAACCAGGCATAGATGACTCACCCTGTCTAGTCTCTAGCTCACCCCTGCTTACACAGAGACTATATAGCACAAATCTCGAAGGGCTGCAGTAGGGTCACTGAGGTGTGTCTTGCCCAGCCCGATGTCTGTTTAATGACCTCTGTGTCCTTCACAACCAGGGTGGTCTGACACAAAGCAACAGAAGGTGACAGGAGACTTATGAGCTGACACTAAGGTTGATGCCAAAAGAAAGCGACAAGCCATCTGGGCAACAGCTCCTGAGGGGGGCCAGAGCCTCTGACCCACCTGGAGCCCCGTGATTCTCCCCTTTCCTCAACCCAGAGGCAGAAGGACAGTGCGGCCAAGAGCCTCGGAGCCTTGGCTGACACCAGGGCTTTGCAATGGACTCTGAGGTGGCCCTGGACAAGTCGAAGCATTACACTGGAACTCGGTCTCCTCACCTGACTACCAGGTGTCATCAGTCACAGAACCAACCTTTTCTGGGGAATAAAAATCACACAAAGTTCTGAGAACAATGCCCAGAGAGCAGAAATAGCCACGTGCAAGCTGTACACTCGTACATTTCAGCTGGTTTTGAAGAGCCGTGTAACAAAGCAGCATCTGTGCTCCAAAGACAGCCAGATAACTGGCACCACCAGCCCACAAGCCAGCTACACATGTCCTTGATCCTGAGATGTGCTGTGTGTGTTAATGTTTCTAAAATCACAGTGGGCACTGAATTTACCATACACTATGCTGCCTGTTAAATGGGGTCTTCAGAGGACCAAAAGAAAAAAGAAAAAAAAAAATCTGAATGCTTCCCTCTGAAGAGCTGGCTCTGGAGAGATCATTTTTCTGTGATTCAGTCCACCATCGTGGATCTCAGCAACTGTCCACTGTCTCCTCTGAGCAAATGTGGAGATTTTTCCTCACTCTCACCTAACCCCAATCCCCCTCCACTCTGCTAACCAAGATGCTGGCTGAATGGCCAAAACCTTGAAAAACAAATGACGCTATAAAACTTTAGGCATTTGCTCAGTTTTCCCTGTTCTGTCGGCCATCTCAGAACTACTGACTTCCAGGACACTCTGAGAAGTTGCTGAGTTGCATCATGTAACATGCCAAGTTCATCCAAGGTTGCTTTTCCTTTTCCTTTTCTTTTCTTTTTTCTTTTTTTTGGCTTGTGGAATAATCTGCATGTTACTGGGTTGGCTTTTTG